CAAGTCGAAAAAAATTTTGAGTTTAGAAAGTTTACATTTTTTTTGACTTTCATCTCTAATTGGCTCAGTTTTCTTGATTGAAGTTCTAACATTATAGTTTAGGTATGATTTTGTAAAGTATTTCGCAGCGCATCTTTTAAAAAAATGTTTGGACCGATCGGATTAAAAGTGACCGAGTTGTAAGAAAAAACAAAAAAGTCTCATTTTCTCTGCCACATCCGTTATAAAGTCTTATTCGACTGTCTTATCTGAAACTTCCTTATGCTAATAGTTGAATTTCATCATTTTAATTTTCTTGCCCTTTCTTAGATACTTCTCCTCCAGAGTTGGTCCAAAGACCTCCAGGATTTCTAACAGCGTTTGGTTGATTGGCCATTATTCTTACTTTAGTTCAACTGGATACCATTTTAACTTGTGTAAATCAAATCGATGTAAATCGTTATAAAAACTTGATCTCATACGATCATTACTATCTTCCTGAAAGTAAATACGCTTGTATAAGAGTATAGACTATCTACACACTTACTGTATCCATAACTCCTCCAAATAGTACTGTCATATTTTGATTGGGTATTTGAACAAGACTACTGCCACAACGTGCATCAGGTTTTTGACCACTTATTTTTACTTGACGATACGTCCAAAAATCATCTAAATAAGAAAAAACACAACAGAAAATGAAATCAAACGTTTCTACTTATGATTTTCTATTTAGTTCTAAATAAATCTACTGTATAAACTATTAACAACATCGGTTTACAGTTTATTCAGTATCGATTAGTTTCATCCAAAAATGTTCTGAACTCAACATTAATCTCCCGTATTTCTAAGTGGTTTGTTCAAAAAATAGACACGCCGATTCTCATTTTACCTTGTTGTTGTTGTATTTGAAATACGTCTTGATGTACTTGTCCTTTATCTTTATTTTCTTTTTTCTCTTTCGAGTATCCTCCAATAATAAACATCGTTGTTGGTTGATCCGAACTTTGTGGAATGAGTGTGACAAGAGGTGCTGCTGATCTTGGACATGGCACTTGACCATTCGGTTTCAACTGTGACCATTGAAATGTATCCAAACAATAAGAATAAAAATCATTGAAATAATTATAAGTTCTAAAGGGAAAGAGAAAGGATATATCGATTAATATAGCCGTCTAAGATGATATCAACAACATGAAGTGCAGGATGTTTACAAAAAGTCTGTGCTCTGCAGTTTGATTATCAGTTTTCATTCTATAAAAATTCACCTTCGCACTACTAGCAAGCGAAAAAATTTGACCGCAATAGAAGACCACCCTTTAGAACTCGACTTGTTGGACAAAATAGAAGACCAGATGGGCTATTATAGCGTAATAGGTTTCATATGTGGAATAAAAGAAATCTTCCGAAGGCATAAAAAAGCAAAACATTTTCCCTATCAGAATAATTAACTGCGATTTCAGAAAAATATCACAAATAATTGAGATTAACTGACAACTTTTTATTACTCGTTACTGGATAGGGCTGGCTGTTTACCATTACTTTACTAATAACAGCAGATGCTAGTTTGTTACTTTCTTACTAGTAACAAGTAACGAAGTTATTACTTATTGCTAGTAATAAGTAACAAAGATTTGTTACTTTGTTACTTTTGGTAAAGTAACAAGGAACAATCTCTAGTAGATATTTCTGTCAGTCGACTCCTTAAGTAAGGTTTTGTGAGGGTGAGAGCGAGGGTGAAATATTTGCTAAAAGGTGGTGGAACGTCTGGCAAAGAAGTATCTGAAATATTTTTAGTTTAGTAGTAATTTTTAATTCGAAGAACCCGTTTAAAACGCTTTTTTGATAAAAATTGGTTTTTGAGTCTCAAAATCGGTTTTTGAACATTTCAAAAATCGGATTTTCTATTTTTAGCCGAGAAAGTTTTCGAAAAATAAATTTCTAAACATATGGTTTCGTAGAAAATTTAATTCTCTACAAAATGGCGTATTTGGTTTTGA